ATAAATAAATAAATAACAAATAAATAAATAAATAACAAATAAATAAAAAATAAATAAATAAAAAATGAAAAAATAAAAAATAAAAAAATAAATAAAAAAATAAATAAAAAAATAAAATAGAATAAAATAAAATAATATAATAAAATAAAATAAAATAATAAATGCATGCTGTCCCAGGGACCTCTTCAGCATCCAAATCCACAGTGGCTTCAGTTGGCCGTCTGGAGGTTGAGCGGGAGCGTCTAACAAATGAGGGTCTATCCGTCCAGGTCATCAACACCATCCTGGCAGCAAGGCGGCCTTCGACCTCCCGCATTTATAACGCAACCTGGAACATTTTTTGTAAGTGGTGCCGCAAGTCCTCCATCAATCCGCTCTCCCCATCAATTGCACAAATTCTGGCCTTCCTGCAAGACGGGCTGGACGGGCCTCTCCCCCAATACCTTGAGAAGGCAAGTTGCAGCCTTATCAACTGTTGTCTCTGGCAACTCTTCTGGCTCGCTTTCATACCACCCTCGTATCCGAGCATTCCTTAGAGGTGCCACCAATCTGCATTAATTCACAGATAACCGGTACTCACGGCGCTGACTAAACCTCCCTTTGAGCCGCTAAGGGAGGCGTTCCTTACGTTCAAAGTGGTGTTTCTCGTAGCAGTCACATCTGCACGGCGGATATCTGACATAGCAGCTCTGTCCGTTAGAAAGGATCTATGCGTTTTCCACGCTGATTGAGTGGTCCTGCGACCAGATCCTTCCTTCCTGCCCAAGATCAACTCGGCCTTCCACAGATCACAGGAACTTATTCTTCCTAATTTTTGCCGCAGACCTTCCCGAGAAAGGGAAAGGCAGTGGCATACTCTCGATGTCCGACGGGCACTTCGTATCTATATCAATCGCACTCACCCTATCAGGAAGTCAGAGTCATTGTTCCTGTCATTTCAACCAAAGACGCTGGGTTTCAAAGTATCCCCGTCTACTGTTGGCCGTTGGATCAGAGCTACAATATCCAAGGCCTATTTATCCCAGGCGCTTCCTGTTCCTAGTGGAATAACCACTCATTCTACAAGGAGTGCAGCTACCTCAGCAGCCTGGGCTACTCAGGCATCGATACATGATATCTGCCAAGCGGCTACCTGGGCGTCTCCATCACCCTTTATTCGCCATTATAAAATCGATGTCTTTGCTTCGGCAGAAGCGTCCTTTGGCAGACGAGTCCTTCAGCAAGTGGTGAGAGAACCAGAGGATATTCTGAACCAGACGGAGTCCCTCCCGTAGGACAGGCCATGCTTTGGTATGTCCCACTCTGGATGCTCGCAGCAGCTCTATGGAGAATGGGCGTTGGTACCTACCTGACACGCCCGTTCTCGTCGAGCTGCGTAGAGCATCCAGCCCCACCCTAATTGGTCCGTCTGGTTTCCTGTTTTGGCCAATGCTTCAAACAGTTTATAGTTAAGAATTGTACAATAGTTAAGATGAGGAGATAGCTGTTTGTCTTCTCGTCTTCGTAAAACTGGGGAACGCTACGGAGGAGTCACGTGGAGGAGGAGGAGCGTTCCTCAAATATAGCTCGGCCTGTAAGAGTGAAGACTGGAGCACCTCCCACTCTGGATGCTCTACGCAGCTCGACGAGAACGGGCGTGTCAGGTAGGTACCAACACCCATTATGTGAGCTGCACTTG